CCCCGGCCAGTAGAACTCCTGGAGCAACCGGTCTTTAGTCTTTTTGACCCCAAGGTGGCCTGACCACGAGCTGCCATGCGACAAGTGCAGGAGGTCCGACCGGTACCTTTGGGGTACAACCAGCTGATCCAGCAGTCTACCCTTTCGGTCTCTATAAGTGCGGTACAACACACCCGCCCTTTCATAGTAGGAAATGACCTTTCTACTGACGCCTTCCCGAACTGTATTCCGAAGTTGTTGTAGACTGCTGCTCGGCGATCAGGAGCGATCTTTCCACTCCCAGCAATGTTTCAAAGCTGGATGAAGTCGGTGGAAGTACGAGACCACCGGGCCCCTCTAGCTTCGATCCTTCCTGCTCATTTCTGAGAGCCCGATCACCCCCAGCCGCACTCACCCCAGATTCAAAGTCGGCTTCACAAACCGCCTCGTTTGCGGTGTCGTGAAGAGGATGCTCATTCTCTGCTAGTTCCGGTTCCCCCGAATTAGACTCTCCTCTCCGACACGCTGCTTCGGCCGTTATCTGGCGCGCCTTAGCCCTTGCCAGGGCGTGTACCGTTCTTTCACTGAACGCGAGGCCCTTTTCTCGCAGCATCTGGTCCGACTTATTCGAAAATAAGTAAGCACAGCTCTGTGGCAGGTTTTTCGAGACGGCTGCCTCTGTCTCTAGCATTCCAAAGGGACCACAATGGTTACTCGCGCCATGAGAAGACAAATGCTCTGTTCCTCCACGGCCTGCTTTATCCAAGCGCATTCTCCTGAGTAATCTTCCGGTCTAACCCATGAAGGGTGGACAACGTCAACAGTAGCTGCGCTGTCGCGAAGGACACGACATGGTTTCCCATTAACCTCTAGGTCATGCATGTATGGCTCGAGGAGTTCCAGGTTGTCGTACTCATCCGTGTAGTGAAGCACTACTTTAGGCTTGTGACAAGACGCGGCGATGTGTCCCCTCTGCTGACAGTTGTAACAAATGGGTTGCTTGCGGGTTTCAAATGCATTGTTCTTTTCCCGCTTCCCTCTGTCACTGTGTTCGGACTCACCGCAATTCTCCTCTTTCGGAGTTGTCTTTTCTGTCTGCCCATTTGGCTCCCGGGTATCTCGGCCATTTTTGCCCTTCGACCACTTATACCCACCCGGTGACTTTTTTGATTCACCCTGGGTCTCTTCCGCTTTCCTGCGGGTTGCGTATTCCTCCGCGAGCTCTCCCGCCCTTTCTACAGAGTCTACGTCGGATTTATCCTGAAGTCAGAATCTGACCGTGTCCGGAAGGCAACGATAAAACTGCTCTAGAGTCACGCATTCTATGACCCGGTCATGGTTCCCGTACACGTCGGCGCTTTTCAGCCACTCCGTCAGGTTAGCCCGCAGATCGTACGCAAACTCGGGATAACCTTGCCCTACTTTCTTACGCATGCTTCGAAAACGCTGTCGGAATGCCTCGGTAGAAAGACGATACTTGCGGAGCAAGCCAGCTTTGATTTTTGCATAGTCATCTGCGTCCTCCCTACTCAAACGGGCCACAACGTCCGCAGCTTCACAGGGAAGGAGGGTAGCAATCTTTGAGGCCAAGAATCCTGTGCAAAGTTCATATTTTCGCAGGTGCGTTCGAAGTTTACGAGAAAAAGACCAATGTCCTCTGTCACCTTAAAAGGCTGCATCAGTTTACTCATTTTGAACTTCTCTGAGTGTCCGGCTTCCTCATTTCTCGGCAGTCCATTTTCGAGTTTCCGGTGTTCGAGCTCGAGCCTCTTTTCTTCTAGATCAAGTTCCTGCTGTTTTAGGTCAAGCTCCCACTTTCGGTCGCTTGTTTTCTTTTCAACCTGCATCCAACAGTCTACTACGTCTTCTTGATCCAACTCTAAGGCCCTAATTCCACCAATGAGTTGCTGTCGTTTAGCAGCTCTAGGAATCTCTAGACCGAACTCATCAGCCAGTTGCACTAGCTCTAGCCTCTTTAGCCTTGTCCAGTCCATCTCTGCAATGAGTAGCACCCACGCTCGGAATTAGTTATACTGTCAGGAACTACGACAAACTTTTCCCTTTCACCAGTACCTAAATCAAAGGTCCTCAAGTTCCCCCTGGCTAATCTCTATCGAGAAAATAGAACTTGGCAAACCCCCGAGCAAACTTGAACACTCACCAGACCGTGGTGTCCAACGACCGTGAGCCGATTTCCACCGCTGCCATCCAGTTGGGACCGAGCGGTGTCCGTGGTGGTGGAGGGGCGACTCGAGCCAGGCACCAGGCTAGAGCTCAGCGGGAACAACGATGAGCCGCGTTCTCTATCGAAAAGCACACTGTTTATTTACATGATGTCCAGTTGGTTCAAGAACACAGAAGGATTTGCTGGTCGAAGTTCGCTCATTTTAAACACTTGGTTCTCCCTAGGTCCCTAGGTAGGGACCCCCACATCGGCGGTTGATCGGCCAATCACAGAAAGGTGTCCCGTTCAAATCCCGCCCCACATTCCATTGTTACGCACACTCAGCCACCGTAAACACTTCACTGTCGGTCTAGACGGCGCCGAGAGTCTCACCCAAACACCGGCTCGTTGGAATTCACGCAGCTGGTCAAAACACCGTCCGGGGCCGAGACGTGACGTGCCGACTTTCGGCCCTTCATGTCTACGCGTTGAATGAAGGCATCCGGATGATCTCATCGCCCCGGATCGTGCCCTGGTGCTTCGGTCGTGAAACCTTAGCCGTTGTTTACGTCGCTCGAATGTTATATTACGGCGCCCGTCTGGTTCGTTCGCTGGGCCGGCATGCTTCCGAAGCGACGATGACGCAAGGCTCGCTGAGTCAGATGACCTTAACCCGCTAGAGGCGCTTGACGAAAACAAACGGCCAGGTGCAGACATTGCAGAAAATGGTGCGGGGGGGGGGGGGGGGGGGGGGGCGGCGCACTCATAACGGCGTTTAACCCTGCCACGGGCCATACGCAACAGCTGTTCCCTTTCGAACGGGCGGAAGAAGACTATGGAGAATTTCGCAGCGAACGGGCGGAAACTCGATTACGTACAGCTTCAGTAGTCGACGCTTTGTTTTCTGGATTGCGTTCGCGGCGTTCACCGTGGACTTGTGCACTCGACCGCAGCCGAACCAGCTGGACGGCTGCCGGCGCGCGTACCGAGAGCGTCGCTATAGCAACCACGCCGCGGGTGTGGTTGCCAGACAGAATTCACACGATTTTTTGTTCTCGTCACTCACGTTGAGTTACTAGAAGTTAGGCGCGTATCATTATAATACATTATGCTGTAAGAACTTATTAAGGGATTTGTGTACCTACTTAAGACAAATGCAGGAAAATATTATTGAAAAATAAAATTGGCGTAATCTTTTTATATCTTGAATAAGACTAGCGTGGTCACTGGGCTAACGATGCGTGAAATAGGAGGGCATATATATCGCTCGGGGCACTTTTCGGTTCGTATAAGTAGGATGTATATACTCAATAAAGAAAACAAAAAGTAGAATGTATGTACTAATTCTTGTGGTTCGTGCAATTGTTCAGACCTTGTATCCGCGTGTGTGTATGCGCAGTGTTGTATGTATGTTAGTGTATTAAGTGAATGTGGCCGGGCAGCAGCAAAAATTGCAGTTTTTTTTTTGTCATGAAATGTTTATTATTTTTTTTTGTCGCTAGATGGCGGTTGTCGCCGCCCAATTCGGAAAGGGTGGCGGTTGGTGATCTATAACTATTAGAGGGCTGGATGCCATTAGTCCATCCGTCGTGTTGATCGCTCCGATTTATTCCCGCTGGTACCTGTGTCGCCGTGTTATGGTGCCTGATTGCAACAAAAGGAGGTTAGGCGGCTTCCCCAGCGCGTGTTCTAGGTGCTGAACGCCGCTGTTCACGCGCTAACGTTCATGAGTGAATAACGCACGTAACAGAGGTGAGCACGGGCAATAGTTAATCGAGAGCCACACGGAGCGCGAGTGCGATACTTCCTAGCCGCTGTCGACAGAGGGTGTCGGAGCGATTCGTTGTCAACTTGTCGTCCACGGCAAGTGGGCGTTGTGTTTAATAAAGCCAGCCGGTCAGTGTTTTGTAAAGCTATCCCTTCTTTACAAACGCTTCTGATGCGATGAAAATGCGACCGGCATTGAGCAGGCCGTGCGAGACTTCGGCAACAATCTCGGCTGTTCAGCCTCCAGCGGTTTCGGTCTTACTCGTATTACTTGCAGTGTTGGCGCTTTGACATAGAGATGTTTGAAAAGTTTTTTGCGCCTACAGATGACACCAAACGAGCGTGCGAGCCGTATGCTCTTGCTCCTACGAGAAGCCGCGTACGGGTCGCCAAGCCTTTTAATCGTATCGCCTGTCGCATACTGGCCTCCATATTGTTTTTAGGGTGTTAGCAGTTACACGATTTTCTTCACCTCCGGGGGCTAACACCCTTACACGAATAAAGGCGATAGCCAGAGGACGAGCCATTTACACGAATAAGGATGTTAAAATTTTAAGTGTGTAGGTACTATTGACTGGCGGTCCTCCCAGAGCAGGGACAACTCTTTCTTCTGCTATTGAAAGCGGCATTTTGCCTCTCTCCGATATGCGGCCGTTTATTAGCTGTTTGCGCATTTAGCGAACTTCACCACCTGCGAAAGGAAATAGAAAAAATAAAATAACTTGTTGAGTCACGCTTGCCGCCAAGTATGATTTTGTTTTCGTCATCGGTTTGGAAGGAGGAGGCAAAATGTTGGCCGCGGTCAGTAAAAGGCGCCGCTTTCCCAACCAAAGGTTGGCGACATCCTACAAGGAGCAGCCAGCAAGCGGCATTGAGGCACTCTATTTACTGGCATATTGACGTGACATCAACATGATTCCAATCGTGTGTCATTTGCCCTGTGAAAATATACCTTGGGGGACACTCAAATTGGTAGCTAAAGAGTTTACAAGAAACGAAAACTTTTCTGAACGAAATGAGCACAAGAAATTACCTTTGTTTTTCGCTCAAAGTGAATATTACATAAAATTGCAAGATCCCAATCTCTCACCCATCTTGGGAACTTGGTACGGCATGGCGAAATACGCTTCATAAAATTTGAGGATCTTGGGACCCAGCTCTAATAGAAAATCCACGTCCTTCAAAATGCCGGGACGCGTCCACAGCTTAAACTGAAAAAGATGGCAAAAACACGCTCAATTTGAATTTACGCTTCGGACGTGGCTGCAATATCAATAGTAATGTCACGAATGAAATTCACAGTTCCTTCTCGGACACCGAGTTAGGTCGTAAGCATAAAATGCTTTCATCAAAAACGTCGCGGCCATCAAAGACGGCACAGCCATGCCGAGTTAAGACGCAAGTATTCTCGGCGATGGCGGCAAAGCATCTGGAGTGAGAAGGGTGTCGACATGTGACACGGAAGGCGTTTTTGAGAAGACGAAAGACGCAGCTGGACAGGGAGGAGAAACTAAGTTCGTAGTTAGCCAACCCTAGACTTGGACATTCGATTTGAATTACAATGACTAAAGCGTAAAAAAGTATTAAATTAGATGATTACTGGAGACGGAAAGTAATTGGCCGTTACTGAAAGCAGCCGTTACTTCTCATACAAGTTAAATTTTTGAAAACACAATTTTCTGCCCATTTGAAAAAAAAAAACGAAGGTGTTTTGTACTGTCAATTACTGGATTAAAATTACCGAATTACGAACTACTTATCTTCTAAATAAACTGATTTTGGTACATAATTTTCCTGTCGGAGATTTGAGTCAAGGATTCCATGGTGGGAAACTTGTAGGAACAAAGAGAGGGGAACAAATGGCAGTTACGAGTAATTTTAGTGCCTCCAAAAGTAGTCAGGTGACCCTTGTGGTTATATATCAATCAGTGTCATCGAATTAGTACAAAATATTTTGAAACGTAATTGTTTACAATTAATTTGATTACTTGTGATGAGTGCCGTACAAGTCTGGCCGATTCTGATGAATCTAGCGTTTTCAAAACGCTTCTTTGAACGCTTTTTCGACAGGAAAGATGGAGGAGACATTAGTAAGAAAGCATTTCATGGTTTCATCAATGTACAGTACATTTTCAGTTAGGAAGCACGTTACCGAGGTGTTTCCGTATGACACAAAGTCGGAGATGAAAAATCCAACCGAGAACGTTGACATGGGGAACGTCTTAACAAACGCGTCAGCCTGTTTTCCTTTTGATCTGCAAAAAAAGCGAAAAAGAGAAAAGTATAAAAAACACGCTACAGACCATTTGACCATTCGTTTTTGGAATTCTTGTATTGGTGTTCTCAGGGGACGTAATTTTATGCTCATTTATATCACTTAAATTTTAGGAATAAAGAGAACATGGTAGCGCGCTTATACACGCAGGAGAGGGGAGAACAGGACAATAAAATGCGCTTAAAAGTCGCCGATTATCTCGATGCTGATTGGCTGAGCCAGGTATGACGTCACATATGACGACTCACCCAAACTCGACGCTGATTGGTTCATTTTTAACCCTTTATTTACGAGATATACGAAGTAAAACATATAAAATAGCACAAAAAGCACAAGGACAAGAAGTATACAGGACAGACGCTATACAAGATATACAAACATTGCCTAAAACATTTATTTTTAAAGCATTATTTTTAACAGTATAAAGTAAACAAAAAAACAGAACTGAATTTGAAGATTAAACTAGTAAGGTTGTAAGTTGTAGCTTTCTTGCCTGTGGGGCGCACCACGCGGAAGGCCGAAAATGGTTCCCTTGCGTGACTTTTAGGGATAACTATAAAATCTCAGCAATAAATGCGCATTCGATTACCTCAAGTAAAGGGTCTCATATCGTATAATATTAGTAGCAAGTGGAAGACTCCTCTTTATATGTTTCTCACTTCTGCCTCTCGTCGGTGGCCACGTATTTCAGCTCCAAACTTACTTTTTATCGTCAACTATTTGCGTATCTTTCCACAAAATATTATTATAATCGAAACTACCATACTACTAAGTTAAAAAAAAAAACCATACTACTAAGTTAAAAAGGCCATACCACTAAGTTAAAAAACGCGATAAAGTGATAACACCGAAACTATTAAAAAACATAATCATTGTGCGGTTTGTTGCCCGTAACGAATTTACATCAATAAAATGTTAAACCACGATTATTGTCGATATCTTTATTCCAGGAACTGCTATCAAATATAAATGCCACGCGTTAAAGGGGTCATGAAACGATATTGGGATGGAATGTTCATGACTTCGCGACGGCGTACAGGTCCTAGTCTGGTCCAATTATACTCGCACAGACCACCACTGATTAATAAGCTTCTTTTGTTGCTGTGAAATTGCGACAATAAAAAAGGGGACTAATATTTTCAGTATTGCCTTCGCCAACCTTGATGACGTGAATGTGAGATCAAAACTAGCCGCCAGACGACAGTCGAGTGCGGCTCATGGATTGGACACGAAAACTACGTGAGCACTCGACTTCGGCACGTAATAATCAATACCTAGGCGGACACTCGGGTGGCGGCTCGTGCTCAACCACAGCGGTGATGAGAATAGCCGAACTCTAACAATGCCTGGACCTCAGTACGCGTTTTATACTTTGCCAACCTCAGCGCGTGGCTATAATTAACGTTGGCGGCATAGGAAAGCTACCAGGTCACGTGGCCATAAAGGCCCCCTATCCTAGGAAAAGTGGTGTTATTCATTGTTGTGGAAATGCTCGAAACACGTGCCGCGCGCCACTTCTGGGAAGAACATTGCGTGAGAAATCTAGCTCAGTGCTGCGCTGTGCCGCCAAGATCTTCCCAAAGACTGCACGTTGCACGTGCCTCGTGCATCGACGCACCTTGCGCTACTTTTAAAACATGAAGGGGTTTTACGTGGCCACGTTTTCCGGCTCCGAGTTGAGGAAATGAACGATGCTCATATTTCAAAATTTTTGTCTTCGAATGCCATTGCCTAGAAAAAGGAACTAAGGCAAGTTATTTCAGTTATTAACGTAAGGGAGTGATTCAAAGTAGAATTTAGCGAGAGTAGAAATACCGTTTCATGGCTTCTCTAAGAGCCGCGCACGGCAGGCAAGACCGAACGCGAATGATCCATGCAAGCATCACCGAAGTAGCGAGATACCGAAACGTTTCCAACTGCCTACCGGTTTTCTATGCGCATTTTTATATGTTTAACGTACGTTTAGTCAAGTTAAGAACTTAGATAGGAATGGTAATTACAATCACGATTTGAAAACCAAGAAGAAGAAAAGAATGAGCGAGAGATGCGTTCCGCCACTATAGGGACGTGTTTTTCGAGCCTGTTTTTTTACAGAACTCAGTGTTTGCCCAGAAAAAGACCTGTGGGCTGGATTCTTTACGTAATCGTTGTCCATCGAGCAAGGGGCACGGACACTAGTTATTTGATACGCATTTGGTTGGCACTGTCATTCGTTTGATGCTTTCCTGATTGAACACGAGCATCAGCCGAGCGAGGACGCCGTGTTCGGCTGTGTCCGCTAAGTGGGGCGTCAGAAACACACGCTGATATTTCATGTTGTTTTTGTACCTATATGTTTATTACTCGAGTTAGTCTCTAAGGGCGCGACGGTGGCGTCTTCTCTTATGTATAGCTCATCTCCTCACCTAGCCATGCGCGAGAAAACGACTATGACACGCTTTTAATATCACGTGCCAGCTCTTAAGCGCAAAGAAGTGGCGGCAAGCGGATGCCCTCCTTTGAGAGAGCCAACAGCACTCTGACCTCAGTAAAGCGAGCTCTCGGCAGCGCCTCCCTCGATTGCAATATCTGGCAGTAAGTCCTTGCCTCACTTGAAACACGTGCCGGGGTTTCGGCAGAAATTGCTATAACGTGAAAGGCACACGCCAGCATCTCGCGCTACTTCTGAACCAATTTTAGGCACGTAAACAGGCTTTCACTGAGCAAACTCACTTTGGATAAACTTTGGCGAGCGGCATGTTGGACAGCGTGTGCAAATTGGGATCTCGGATGACTTCCATGTTGAAAACCGATTTGAGGCCAGGCTCGTCAAAGCAAGGAAAAGCCCTTCGAGCCTCGGTCGGGAGAAAATTGGTGCCAATGACCCATCTGAAAAAAAGAGAACACATAACCGAAGGTATAATATAACACAGATTGACTTTCCCTTGGATATGATATGGTAATACATTCTTCATGTAATCATTTCACTGGTGCACTGCACGGCATATTTTGATAAACCCTTCTTTCCGTGCTCATGTTTATTTGCTCATGTTATGGCTGTCGATAGAGGGCCGCGGTATCTTTAAACAAACAAGCAACCACATATAAATACATAAATATTTGACATTTGGCCTGTGGTACCTAATATTTGCGGTTGCAGCATTATTCAGGGGTGCCATCACGTGTCTGAGACTCGTAACATCAAGAAATATAGGTGCCCTTTTCTTTTAAAGTAACAATCTCCCTTTTAAGCCAATTATCAGGGCTAGTTGTAATTGCAAATAGTGATTTCTAGCGCTGCTTCAGCGCTTATTTAAATGTTTGTTTATTTGCTCTCTATGACTATGCATGCAATGTAAAATTAATAACGAAATGCACACATACCCTCTTATTTATACTATAACATATTCCGAATATTTATCTTTGTTGTTTTATTTTTGCAAGCCTAATATCGGGTGGTAAGATAAAGGTTTAATATTTAAAACCCCATTGGGAGAGCAAACGAGTTTTTTCTTATGTCAATCTTAGAACGCGTGTATTTCAGTGCGGTATATAGCTCGCCCAAAGTAAGCAAGTAACGGCATCTAGTTGTCAGCAGAAGTGAGTAGCGGTGCAAAAATAGCTCTTTCATCTACGTAATGATTTCTGATTCTTTCAAAAATCTTTTTTTTTTCTCACTAAAGTTACGTGGAATTTTATATACTTTTAGCATATGACAGATTTCATGTGTCTCTGTTTAGGTTTCAACTTGAAGCTTGATTGGATGATTTTTATATTAATAATTTTAGGATGTTATGGAGCGTTCTACACTCTAAATATGGGTGTAACGATTACACACGATGTCACATCAAAGACACCCTAAAACTTCAGTTCTACGTACAGCGCACTGACGTCAAACGGACGGCCCAAACTATTAAGAAAGGCTTGATAACGGTGGGATAAAACATCTTAAGCAGCTAAAGTACGTACCAAAGACTACAGAAAAAAAAACGAAGGTATTGAGAAGGCCAAGAAAACCCCGATTGCTTTTTTTGCAGTCAGTCAGACTTACATTAGCTGTTTTGATAAGTTTTACGACTCGGCTATCAAGCCGCTCGTGAAAGCTGGTACCGTCTGTTGAACGTCAGTGCGCTGTACGTCTATCTGAAATTTCGGGGTGTATTATATGTGACAAGGAGTTTAACAATATAATTTTTTTTGTATTTTTTTTTTGCGTCATGTCGCAGTATGTTGGGGGGGGGGGGGGGGGGGGGAGACGCATCATGTGACGCTATATTTTATTGCGTGTGTTTAACTTTTTTAATATTTTCGATTGGACGTCATCTCGCTGAGCCACAGTCGAAAAATGTATTTATTTATATTAATTTCGGTTTGTTTAGATTTAATAATGGTGCTCCCAAACAACTTCAGGGCTTCAATAGGGTTGCTCGTACAGATAGTCTACTAGAATAGAAAGTAAATAAATAAATATCATCACACATTTATGATCAAGGAGTGACTGTACACAATTTTAAGCATTCAAAAGGGCATAAAAATAACTCTCAGCGTTATTTGACTTATCATAGAGAAGTTGCACACGAATCAGGGAAATTTTATATTGTGAGCAGCGTGGGTAAAAAAGTAGATTGTACCTATTTTGTCGTCGGGGAACATGAAACAAATTTTACCAAGCAACAAATGTGAGTCATTAAGATCATTGAACACTTTGTATGAGAACACTAAATTAACGAGTTCATCTTCTTTCAGAAAGAGGCGAGTGACAGAGTTTTGTAAAAGGCTCACATAATTATAAAAGAAGTTTGCGTCCGATATGGCGATCATAAACAATTCGAACAAGACGTCGTTGCACACACTTGAAATGGTGGGTTTGATTTACGCCTAGAAACTTTTATACAGTTAAGAAAATTCTAACTGTGACAAAATTAGCGAGCGAAAGAGATTAAGTATGCGCGAACAGTTTTGGAAGTTTTGAATGATACATCATATTATGTCTAGCCAACGAAAGGATTCAATGACAATTTTACTAATATGAGGACCGAAATTCAGGCGTGAATTATTAACAACTCCCAGGTCACGCACCATTGAAGGCCTTGATATGTCAGAGCCATCTAATGTATAAAACTGGACACTGGCATAAAAGAAACAACTTTAGTTTTTACGAGATTTAAAGATAACTTATTTGACAATATATAGAAAATATATGGCATTAATGTCGGGCTGTAGTAGGTCACATTTTCCTATAGTGCTAATGATACGATACATTTTAACATCGCCAGCAAATTGAAGCACCTCCGAATTGCCTACACTAGTCGCAAGGTCATTCACAAATACTGTAAACGACTTAATTTTCGTGAAGACCTAATTTTCGCGAATTTCGCGAATCGTCTACCATTTGCCGAACAATAGGTGCCGCGAACATTTGCAGTAAAATGTAAACATATTGGAATCTATATTGAGATCCCATTACATCGCGAAAATCAGAACCCGCGGATACTTCCAAAATTTCAGCTTTGACCTAAACCGCGAAATATTGAACTCGCGAAAAATAAGTCGTGTACAGAATACTAAAAAGTAGTGGTCTAAGGTTTAGACCTTGTGGCATTCCAGATTCTTGGACGTGAGGAAAAGACCCGTGCCCCAAATAAGGTAATGCGTTCGGACGATCCCTGAGATGGCTTTCAAACTAATTACAAAATCCAAAACTAACAAAAAAAATTAGATAACTTTGCTAACAAACAAAGACTGTGATCTACATGATCAAACGGTCTAGAATAGCCAAAAAAAAAAGTACATCTACCTGCCTTGAAACCCAACAAGAGGCATGGCGAATTCACAATAATGTTATAAGGTTTGTCTCAACAGATCGCTCGAAAAGAAAAACCAAGCTGGTGCAGACTGAGCATAGTCTTAAACTGGAAACTGACACGCTTGAAAATGTATTTGTCAAAAACCTTAGCAAAGGTACAGAGCAGTGAAATTAGTCTATAATGGTCGACACACATGGTGCTTTCAGCTTTGTGGACTGGCATAACCAAAGAGTTCTTTCATGCCGAGGGGAACGTACTTGTCTTAAGGGACATATTGAATACCTGTTACAGCACAGGAGCCAGTATCTCACGGCACCCTTAGTATTCTTTTCTTACGATTACGTCAGGGACCCGATGACTGAGAACGTCGATGGTCTGCGGATGCTGGTAGTCATAAAAATGACTGACAAGACTCCATCAAGTGGAGAAAAATAAAAAAAAACGTCTATTTACAGTGCAGATCGAATCGTTGCCCGACCGACGTTCTTCACGGCCCTCGCGCGTTCCTCTTTCTTCCCTTCTTCTGGTTCCGTGTCTCGCTAGAGCCACAGCGGCGTCGCTCACTTTAAAGTCAGCACTGTGCGAAAAGAAAGACGAAACCGAAACCCTGCGCATGTCGCGCCTCTGGATTTACGGTTGTCGTTCACGCTAGGGTGCCTTCATGTTCGCTTTGCTTAGGGTGGAGACATCTGGCCATTTTGTTCCACACGTTTATTCTCATTTTTTGTTCAGAAGCGCGTGAAAGAGCGTGTCCCTGCACGCGTCTGCGGCGCTGACTGTGCTATGGCGACATTTTGTTTCCGTCGATTTCTTTGTATTTTCCCCGTGAGCGCGTGCTGTCGGCATCGGGTACTACAAAGGGTGGCATCACCCTAAACAGAAGGACATTGAGGCACCCTAGTTTACGCTGACCTTCACACCTCCCCAACAGGTATAATTTCGGGGCTTCAATGTCACAAAATTATCACACAAAACAAAACAAAAATGTCCGCCCGTCATACACTGGTCAATTGCGCTCTGGTAAGGTGATTTTGAATGTGCCCGCCAAGGCTCTAAACACCCCGTTGCTACCAAAAAGTGCCTTAAGACTTACATCGTATGGACAGGAACGTGCATCTAAAAAAAATCAGCAAAGGCGTATGGGTAACATAATCTCTCTCTAGGCCAGGCTACTTTCCCAAACACGCAACTGCCCGTTCAATCATACAAAAAAAAAAAAAAAGAAGCTTGCCAACTTAAATATACAATTTATTTAAACAAACACACCAAAACTTCGGTTCGCGTATACGACGAACCAAAAACCATTGCTTGACAAATCAGTCGCTCCTCCTCCATGCGGTCCGGGTGGACCATTTGGACCTCGCGCTCCGCAAGCTGGTCGATCTCGAAGGCTCTCAGCGGCGGCGCCCGGCCCTCCACCGGAAACTCTGCGGCCTTGGTCTGCTTCTCTTTTGAGCTGGGCCACTCCTCCTTTTTAACAGGTTCACCCTCGGCCACTTTGTTGGGGCCTCCTCCCTGGGTCGGGGGTGCCTCTTCGCCACTCGCCGCCCCCGCCGCCGCCAGGTCGCCATCGTTCGCACACCCAGCACTTGCTTGTCTACCGTCGGGCTTGCGGTCCACGGCCGAGGCGGACACCACCGAGAAGATGCCCCGCAGGTTGCGACGCACTTTCTCCTTGATCCTGAACGCTTCGCCCCGGCCACAGAGACAATCTTGTTCACCGTGAAGCTGCCTGGCTGGAGGTCCGCGTGGGGCACCGCTGACTCCTGCGGGTACTTGGCCTCGAGGTTGAAGGGCTTGCTACGGTAGAAGGTGAGCATCTTGCTGAAGGGCAGCTGGTGCCAGCAGGGAAACACCTCTGCCCGGCTTTCCTCTCCCTTGCCCGGGTCCTAGCACAGATCGATGGGGTAGAGCTGGGCGTCCACCACCGCAAAGTCTCGCATCTTGAAGATGGGTGACCCCATGCCACACTGCAAGGCGCAGCCCCGAACCACCGCCTTGTCTTGATGCAGCGTCGTCGAAGGCTCCCGCTGGAACAACTTGCGGACTAGCTGCTTGACCGCCGGCGCCCGGGTGCCGCCCCCGATCAGCTCCACCGACTAAACGTCCGTCGGCCGCAGCCCGGCCGCTGTCAGCGCCCAAGCCATGGCGCGAGCGGCCGGCGCTCGCAGCTCGGTGGACATGGCCTCGAAGGTCTCTCTCTTCATCTTGCCTGCAACGTCCCCGTCGTTCTTGAAGCACTCGATGTTGAGCGGCAAGTCGTGCGGGTTGGCACTCATTGGCTTCTTGAGCCTCTCGCACTCGGTGATGAGGCGCATGAGGGCGCGCCAGTTGGTGGCCATGTCCAGCTTGTAGCGCTCCTTGAACTCATGGACAAGGTAGCGCACCAGCACCACGTCGATGTCGCGGCCCCCGACTCCGTCGAAGATGGTGGCCAGTATCTTGAGCCGGTCCTTGTTGAAGGCCACCAGCACCACCTGGAGCGACTAGTGACCCCTGTTCACGAAGGTCACCACGCGCGGCTTGTCCTCGGGCAGGTCGTACTTGTAGCAGGCGAAGCTGAGCGCCACGGCCGTCGACTGCGACCTCACAACCTTCATCAGTAATCGCGTCTTCAGCTTCACAAACCATCGGTTCCAAGTCAACCCTCCCGCAAGCCCATTTTAGGCTGTCGTAGTCATCGGGCGTCAACAGCATGTCTATGCCATTAACCAATTGTTCAGTGACGGCGCACAAGAGCGGCACCTCTCGAGGGACGTACTCAACGTAGCTTGTGGGAAGAGTCATTGGTATATGGCGTAGAACGGCGCTCACGCTGTCCCCGAACGCCCCAATCAGTGTCACCCTTCCGGACGACCCCTTCATTTCAGGCGCCACCCCCTCACGCACGACGCTAATCTCTGCTCCGGAATCGATAACTGCCTGCACCATCCTCGGGCCGTATTTCACCTCCACTATCTGCAACTCAGCGCGCGTACGGTTCCGATTGACATTTATGTCCTTGAACATACTTTGCTGAAGTGGTGTTAAATTTGTTGAGATGTAGCCCACCACGGAAATATATCTTTGTCCTCCATCTGCCATCTTCCGTGGACAGCCACTTGAAAAGTGTCCCATTTCCTTGCAGCTGAAGCACTTCACCCGGGAACCGTCAGGTTTAGTACCCTGCCTTGGGTTCTCGTGTTTCTCCTCGAGAGAAGTGGCCTTTGTTGTGCGGCATTAGCGGCTCTTAGCTGACAGGTGATCTCGCTTTTTGAATTGCTCGCCCTCGTCGAAACGGTCAGCCAGCGCAGCCACCTCTGCTGGTTTGAGCCATTTTCCGGTCTCGTTTAGCGTTACATAGGTCTACATGTCAACGGGCAAGGAATCTTTAATGCGATCAGAAACCATTAATGCTAGCAAGTCCTCAAGAGAGTCGATCGAGCGACTTCGAGCATAATACTCAAAAGAGCTCTCAACCCGCGTCGCAAACTGAGTCCAGGATTCTTTCTCCAGTCTAGTGGCTTTGAGAAAAAGCTTCCTGTACTCCGCCGGCGACAGTCTGAGTTCCAAGAGAACTCGCTCCTTAACCGCACTGTAATCACTTGCTTCGCCGACGGGCAGCCTATTCACCAGCGCCCATATGCTCCGTAAGATAAGGTCGCACGAGTGAACCCCTTAGACACTTGCGTTCGAGTGCGTTTGACTGTGTTGCGGCGAAAACCGAAAGCGAGTCACCGGCACATCTGTGCTTCGTATGAAGCGTGGAATCCAATTCAAGGAATCTTCTTGGCACGCGATATAAGCAGCAGGGATGTCCTGGTGTCTCGCTGCCGCAACGCAGTCAAACGCAGTCAAACGCAACTGTGTGAACCGGGCTTTAGGCGCTCAGGCACCCCATATGTCGCAAAGACATTTTCGACACCGTCGAACCAGCTTGGTACGAGCAGTTCGGAAGACGACATTTGTGTCAAAACACCCTTCATGAGCCTGGAAAAGCTAAGCACCTCGTCCCTCAGGTTGAGGTCTGCGCCGCCTCCACTGGTGCTGAATCTGTTTTCCGCACGAACTCGCTCTAGTTCAAGCTCTAGACGCACTAGCCGTTCTTTTTCTCTTACGAGCTCAATCTCTCTTTCAATCAGTGAGCTACTCGATCGGCCATTCCGGACCCCTTCCTCGTGCGTCCGCACGGTCGCCACTGGTCTACTCTGAGGTGACGGTTCACCTTGCACGTCGACATCGTTATCATTAGCTCTACCCCGATCCAACGAGGGAACCGGCCTACCCGTTCCCCACTACGTAGCTCCATGGCGGGCGCCAGTCAAAATAATCACCTTACCCCTGAAGGTTGAGAAGTCCCTAAGGCAAGCACACGCAGTCTGTCGATCGGAACAGGGGGGCTATGTTGCGCTTTTTGCACTCCCAGGAGACTAGGGAGAGGGAAGTGACGTCAACGACACAGCAAACGCAGATTGGGTGTTGATTTCGTTTTCTTCTGTCAACATCCAATCTGCATTTGCCTTGTCGTTGACGTCACTTCCCTCTCCCTAGTCTCCTGGGAGTGCAAAAAGCGCAACATAGCCCTCCAGTCCCCCCCCCGATAACGGTGTCCGTGTCGTGTAGACGCTTTGCAGTGGTGTGAGTCCGCAGCACTTCCGAAGCCGCGTCGACGCGAAGTCCCGGCGTTCCAAGTCTTATTCGTTGAAAACGCTGCTGAGGCCCAGCAAATTGCCACCTCTCTTCTTGTTAAATGGAGTCGCTGTCCGCTGAATCTGCTGGGTCGTTCCAGCCGGCGGGGCCCGCTGACGCAATCCTGTCGATTGCGCCAGTGAAGGTTCGTTCTTTTCTTTCGATTATGTCACGGACCCGATGACTGAGAACGTCGATGGTCTGCGGATGTTGGTGGTAATAAAAATGACTGACAAATAAAATAAAAAGAAACGCCTATCTACAGTGCAGATCGAATCGTTGCCCGACCGACGTTCTCCCCGGCTCTCGCGCGTTCCTCTTCCTTTCCTTCTTCTGGTTTCATGTCTCTCTCGAACCACAGCCGCGTCGCTCACTTTAAAGTCATGACTGAGCGAAAAGAAAGACGAAACCGAAACTCTGCGCATGTCGCGCCTCTGGATTTACGGTTGTCGTTTAAGCTGACCTTCACACCCTTTGATAATGAAGGCAGGTAACCCGTCTTCCCTAAAGAATTTTTCCTTTTTAGCAGCAAGCTCCTTAATTGCAAAAAATACGTCATTATAAGTCATTTTAGGAGTGAACATAAGGCGGAAGTTATCTCGGCACGTGGTTGTAATAACCGACAAGGCTGTGATAGAATTTCGCATAGAGGAGAAATGCTTAGCAAACAGAGGGCAAGTACATAGAGGATCGGAATTGTGACCTGAGATGGTCTTCAGTATGATGGCCTCAGATCTATTAGATAGTCTGCTGTATCTAACATACTCCCAAAGTCGGTCAGCGCGGCACTTTAAGTCAGACTCAATAGTCCTGTCACATCTGTTCATCTCCTTGAAGCGACATCTTCACCATAGAACGATGTTTCTTAAGTAAGGAGTGCGATCTTTTCAAACCGGAAGACTTGCAGTTTTCGTGAATCCGAGATTTAAGGACGAATGCCTGCCGGAGATCACGTGAAAACCGCAAGAAACATTTACCTCGGCCACTTCGTTTTACCGGTATAAGCGATTTATAGTAGTCTTAATTAGTCCATTCGCAAAGCAATAGTCACTTTTAGTATAGCGTTGTTGGATCTTACGTACGCAATACGCAATAGTATAGCGTACGCTAAAAATGACCTGCTCGGACCGAATTTAGTTGTGCGTTACGTTTTCGAGTGAACACCGCGCATGATCTTGGTTAAATTGGCTAGAGCCGTAGAATTCCGCGTGCTTATAGCGCAACAATGCTCCTGGAGAGAAATATGGAAAAAGAAAAAGTGTCCAATCATTTTATTTCAGATTAAAACAAACCACAGCTGCCTCGTCAAGCGCGCTTTTCTGCAGGGTACAGAGGCTAGGAGTACGAGTGCGTAGCCGAATTCGGTCACGTAGCCTCTGTCAGTCGTCCCGTGAAAACGGCACCTTTTATCAATGCTATCGCGGAATGAAATGCATGACCCTGATGTCCAGTGCATAGCGAGAACTTCGGCGATTTATTTTAGAGTCGTTCGTCCGTCGGCGATGAACTGTGCGAATAGGCTTAGCGTTGAGCAGATCGCAGCGTCGACGCACACTGCGAGCGGCGAACATTTCCAGTGTGCACTCCTTCAGCTGCAGGGCGATCTGATTCGACCGCGGTAGGTCCCAGAAAGAATTGCCGAGCTGAACACCACGCAATTTCACGTAACACAGAACTTCGAAAACACCACGTCGCCCTTGCTGTGCCAGCCGAGGCAACCGCCATCTTGAAACTGGCGCTCTCGTTGGGTCCGAGATCCCTCGAGAGCATCCCGCAAGGCCCGCTAGCCAGCAACGCAAAATTCCCAGCGTTGCGTGCGTACGCAATACGATAGCCCTTCTATTGCGTTCTGCGCACGCGCACTCACGACCCGCAATCTCCTTGCGTACGCAAAGCTATAGCGTACGGTCCACTAAAACTGTCTAATAGCTCGGTAAACATCATCACGCTGGTAAACGTCAACCCAGTCAGTATTGTTGAAATCCGTGTATAACCCGAAGTAGTCGCCGCGAATAAAATTCTACGACGGTGGCTGCACATTCGAAGTTCTGACAAACGGGAATGAAACCGTTAAAGAGACAGGAGGTTGCCACTCATCTATAGGAACAAAAGTATCGGTAATAGTGCCTTCCAAGGCTTCTCGAATGTTGGTCAGAAAAAAGATCAAGGATGTGTCCTGCAGAATATATAGTCTGGTTAATTTGGTCAAGTTTATTAAAATAGACAAACACAAGTAGCGCCAGTTCACTTCCAGAACTCTGTTCGTCACTGAATAAGTGTGTCCCCCTCGATTCTAGGCAAATTAAAGTGACCCAAAATTAAAACATTGTAAGCTGAAAAGTCAACCAACCTAGAAATGTCAATTAAAGTGTGGCTTAGTGTTAAAAGGCCAGAATGAGGTTGGAAGTAGTAGTTTCCGAGAAGCAGATTAATCCAAATGCTTTTCAATGAGTAGGTAGTTCGTTATAAGATGCATAACCATTAAGACTGATGACCCTATGACGATACTGGATAAATTCCTGTAACATAAGGGAAACATCTGAACAGAGGAGTCTGCTCTTTGAATGGTGAAAAGTTGAGGGAAGGTCATTGTTGAGAAAATACCTATTCTGATATTTATACATACCCGCCGAGCTCTCTACAAATCATTATTGCCATAATTTTTAAGTATAAATAACTATGATGTCTTCATTTTCTATGAACATTCAGTAGGAGTACACATTCTTCAAGTGCTTCTTCCTCTCTTTACACTTCTTCCCCAAGTACAGATGCCAAACACGCGGTTTGTGAAGTTTGTGTTGGAAAATATTAACGTATTTGGTGCCATTGTAATCGGAAAGAAAGTAAATGTGCGGTGAAGCTATTTTTTTCCAAAGTAAGAGTTCTATCTAATAATTACTTTCTTAAATTACGAGAAAGCGTGCCTTTTGCACGATAATTATAATCGCTTTTAGTAACACAACCCTCTCAGGTGAGATCTAAGATAGCATCACCGCTCAAATCACACCCTTGTGAATGCAGTTGCATTAAACAGCTCAATAATTTACTAATAATTTTCTTTAACTACCCGTAACAAATGACCTAATCAAATTATACCTACCTCCCATAACTCAAGTTTTGCTAAAGATATTCAATATCTGATTGCATATCTGGAATACGTGCGAGAGGTGTTATATCCGTGTATATTATGATAAGTATTATCTCACAAATAAGCAAATTACTCATTATTCTAAAGCACCACATATACCCTTAAACACCTGAAAACCCAATATTCGTCCTAAAATAGCTAGCGGTACAAAATACACTCGACAGAACGGAAAGCTCATATCACCGTTTGAAGAAGGGGTGAAAGGGATGTAAAATAATCTACTAACATTAATTATATACTTCATTAAGCAGTTATTGAGCTATGCGCCCTCCCCCCGGCCCCTTCTCTCCCGCAAACCCTAGACTTTCCTTAGTGTCCGCGTCATATTAGCTTGTAGACCATGTATATAAAGTGGAGTCAACGTTACTCATTATTATAACTTGCTATAATGCTTGCAAAAGTAACAAAGACGTCTCGACCAGTACCACGCTACCGATCGCTAATAGAAGCACATCCAATTTCAAGATTGTCAACGTTACTTTTACATGCTGGTCTGTACACAAAGGTTCCCAGCCAAAACACCGTTCTTGGATTAGACCTCTTTGCAAAACGTGCAGCGCCGTCCGCTGCGCCGAAAGGCATGCCAGAAACTCAAAGGAACATCAGGTTATAGCAGAACACAAAAGTGGCCTTGAGGACGACGGCGAGTGGGCGAAGGCAGGCGAGCACTGCGGTGCCGTCTCGCCCTTTTCAGTGCCACGTAAGGGCAAGGGGGCGAGCACAGGAATTCGTGCGCGGTTTTCTGTGATTTTTGGTAAATGTACATTTTGCACGTATAGACCAGCACACCGTTGACAAAGAAGTCAGCGTTTGCCCAAGCCTCGTGTGGGCATTGCGCGTGCGCAAAAATCAGATCCGCATCAAGTGATACGTCTGCGCATGTGCTGCGTCGACTGCATCGTCAGCGCAGCTGCGTATTATCATATTCGCGTGTTGGTGTATAGACCTTTGCAAAAATCACCTTCTGCTCGCTTCCATCTTTGTCTGCTGGACTGTGGAACACCTTGTGAGAATGTACTGCTGCTATGCTGTGGGGTTCTTCAGACAGCTGCGCACGCCAAAATTTCAGTGATTCAGCATGATCCGGCCGGGAGATAAGCGATGCAAAGGTCTATACAAGCCAAAGAATTTAGCAACGTTAATACGAGCTACGAGCATGAGTGTATCAGCAGCGAAGTCACCCGACCATAATATGGAGTCAGGTCAGTACAAGCCGCGTAAAGTGGAGCGAGGTTGGAAACCTTTCCTTGCGGCTAGTTTCTTTACAATTAAACAGAAAAGGTACACTTACACGGTGCCGTTGTCTCTGGTGTAGTGGCGTACGTTGAAGCCGTTGTCGTGAAACGCAATACTGGTGAAGGGAATGTTCAGGTAATACTTCTCGCCAGCGATTATATCGTCGGCGAGGTAAATGTAGAGGAACTGGGAGAAGTCGTTCGTGCGAATGTTAAGAATTTCTGGTCCGGGCTTCTGGTCGACCGTAGTGAGACTTGAGTTGGATCGATCGATTATAAGATTGGATGCGTGCATCTGAATCATCTTGGTGTTTTCCTTACACAGAATAAAGATGCGAGCGTGACCCTTGAAGTACACGCTTTGATCCGTGTACACGGGCTCAAACTTCAATTTGTACTCGAGTGGCTCGACTGTCTTGGGAAGTCGCAGATCTTTTTGGTAGTGGTCGCCCGGTGCCGTCTCGGGAACGGGAGAAAACCTATATATGCCTTCTGCCTGAACGCTAACACCTTGCTTGTGCTCTGCGAACAGCTCCGTTTTTTTAGGATGAACTGTTGAGGGCTCTTCGGTCACGGGCGGGGCGGCGGTTGGTGGCGGTGGCGGTGGCGATGGCGGTGACTGTGGCTGTGGCTGTGTTTCGGGTAGCTCCGTCGAGTCTTCTTGCCCACGCACTTCAATGAAGGCCTCTTGCTGCTTCTTGGCCCCTGGTGTTTCGTCCTTCCGTGCTGCGGCCTGTGTGTCTTGCTGCTTCTTGGTCCCTGGTTTAAGGTGGTTTATCAATACGGCCTGGGATTCCTGCTGCTTCTTGGTACCTGGTTTGCGGCGGTTCAGCGGTGCAGCGTGGGCAACCGGCTGTAGGCGCTTTGCCGTCTCAGCGACTGTGTTTCCGTGGTCAACGCGTCGCTTCTTCGTCCGTCCTTCAGCAGGTTCGCCTTGTGCGGCAGTGTTGTGAGGAGGTGAGGGCTGTGGTCCCGATTCCCGCAACGTGTGGCTCACGCCAGCAGGAATGGCGACTGCTGTGACGGTGAGAATCAGGCAACTTCCAAATATGACTTGCCACTTCTTCTCGTTCAGCAAGGTACGCAGGCGGCTGCTGATGGAGACAGTCCGTTTGCCACGCAAGTCCTTGTTGACACGTTGCATGACGCACTCGGCGCTCGACTCGTGCATAACAAGCTTTCGCTTTACTTTCAGTCACGATTCGGACAATAGTCCGAGCGAAGAGTAAAATATTATCCACCGCGTTGGTGTTCAATGTGTTTTAGGCGTACCTCGAAATGGGGACACTGGCTAGAACGGCTGCATTTTGCATTCTTTACCCGAATGCATTTACAAAACGCAGGGCACCGGCGAAGCGAACAGGACAGCACGAGGGTGTGAAGCTTCTTCATCGCTAACGGCAGTCTAAAGCAAAAAGACGAAAAAATAATTATATTTATAATAATAATAATAATAATAATAATATTAATATTATTATTATTATTATTATTATTATGTTATCAGTTTATTTACACACATTAGAATAAAGAGGGTAATTACTAGGATATCGAAGCTAGCATAGGGCTTGTATGACGACGATCATAACAAAAATTGAACGTCATTCCAAATTAATAAAAGAAAACAACGATGAAAAAAAAAATGTCTAAGTAAGGTGCTTCTGAGTAGATGCCTTATTTTGTAGGCGCGCTGTCTGTCTGTCGCGGGGAAAATACATGTTTATTTGCACTGAGGGGCAAGCGCGTGACACGCTGGCGCACTCAGTGCGTGACTTATGCTTTAAAATGGCGTCTAATTATTAGCAAAAGGTACGCGCTTGAGTCTCACCGTTTCTTGAGTTTAGTCACACCGGATTTCGCGCACTTCAAAGACATAGAAATTACAATAGGGTGGAGAAATCACTGAGGTGTCACCACTCAAGCAAAAGCACGTATAAAGGCAGTGTGCATAAAGGCACACTATTTTGATATAAGGCCACTTCATGTTTGAAAAGTAGCGCAAGGTGCGTCGATGTACGAGGCACGTGCAACGTGCAGCGCTTGGTAACATAATGGCGGCACAGCGCAGCACTGAGCTAGTTTCTAGACGCCATGTTCTTCTCAGAAGTGGCGCGCGACACATGTCTCAAGGATTTTCACAACAATGAAGGGCGCCACTTTTCTCAGCACCATGGCGGCTGAGAACAGTGCGTCTCCTTTAGGTTGTGAGAGTTGCGACTTTTTATATCATGTGGGAGTTGTACCAAAGCCTACATTTTGACAAACAATCTTCGCCGTGCCTGTCAAAAGGGTGCACCCGCCATAGAGAGGGGCCGGACAAAGGGTGTTCCTGGTTTACGAGTGGTGTCGCTATTGAAAAGGTTACGCGGTGAATAGCACGCTCCATTTCCCAGGGATCAGAGTGAAGGCCGTCAAAGCACTGTAGAGCTTGAAGCACCAGCCGCAAAATATAATTACAGCGGAGCTGTTAAGGGCTAGTTCCCCAGGATCGTGTCTCCCGCAAACAAATAAAGACACCGAACTCTGGACACCTACCGCCATCCATGAGTGACGGCGGCAAGCCCCGTATCTGGTTGCCACCGTCGCTCACAGATGGCGGCAGCCTTTCCACTCTGGCTTGCCGACTTGCGGCCGGCCATTACTTTCTATTGTACAGCTCCGCTGGTCTTCCTCCTTCACCAAAGTGGAAAGGCTGAAAGTTGTTTTAATCATCTTTATTATATGTTCAAATTTCACTGGGGATCTGTATATGCGGTTATAGGAACGAGAAACAGAAGCGTAGCACCCGAGAAAAATAAAATGTGCAGGCTTGCAAGGAAATTTCATGGCCAACCTTCCTCTCGTCCTGTGCAGTAGGGTATCACGTTTACAGGGTCTTTTTCACCGCAAAAACGGACTAGGCATCGCCGAACGCTCATTCTCCACCCAAAGGTAGCGCTAGAGGTCACAAACAAATGCCAACGTTTCAGCCCGATCAAGTGATAAGTGATTTTCTGAAAATTTCAATGGAAAAATGGAGTCCATTTTCGCCCGTTTGCGGTTTTTGGTGCCATAGAGCCCCACGTATTCGAAAACTCCGTCGGCCGCCATTTTCCCATTGAAATTTTCAGAAAATCATTTATAACGAACGTTTGAATAAAATATCGGATCGGGCTGAAACTTTGGCATCTGGTTGTGACTTCTAGAGCTGCCTTTGGGCAGAGAATGAGCGTTCGGCGATGCCTAGTTTATTTTTGCGGTGGAAAAAACTTTGCAACTTTTCTTTTATGACACCCTGTAGATCGTAAGACGTCAATAAACACTTTTCGAAGGTCCGTCTACCCACCGAACCAGACGTTCTAATGGCGGCACCACATAACTTCTCCGCACCAGGAAAAGCGAACGTCTTCAAAAACATTAAGCAGAAATTAGAAAAGATGTTGGTACTTTACGTCACCCTTTCTTAACGAAATCGAAAGTGCTTGGTTTAGCCGCTCATGATTTCCTATCACCACCATTTGTGCAGCAATATTGGAGATTTTGGGACTGCCAAAAAATGCCGAACTTTTGGAAAGGGTTAAGCCTACTTCAGACAGTTGCGTTTGACTGCGTTTGACTGCGTTGCGACTTGATAGTCGACCGATACAATTTCTTAAATAGCTAATCTACGCATTAAAGGCTACAGTAAAACAATGAAGGTTTTTTAGGTCGTGCTGCAAAACCTCAGTGTCTTGTTTTTCTTCTTGTCTTGCATACGCACATTAGCTGCCTAGTACGTTATATCCAACAGCTATCAAGCCGCTCGGAAAAGTTGGTATCGCCAGCTCGACGTCAGTGGACTGACCGTCCAAATGTAGTAAAGTAGTAAGCTGGGCGTGTTGGTAAACGTTGAACAGGGTTAAAAATTGCGCGCAAAGAGAGAGGGACAAACGAGGAAGGAACACAGAACACAGACAGGCACGTGCTCACAACTCTGGTATATTAAGTGTAGAAAGAAAAGAGGAAGCACGTTTCATGATAGGGGACAACGGCGCCAGGGCGTAAACAGTTCAGTCACAGTCAAATGTTCGCAAGAAGGCAATTTCTTTTTTGCTCAAAGCTACCGACGACGGACTAACCCTGCAATCGGCCAGGCTTAAAGGGGCCACGAAACGAATTTTGGGCTTGTATAAATGATTTTAAATTGGGAGTTTACTAATCGCGTATCATTTAGTTCGGTAAAAAGAAGAGGGTGGAAAGTCAACAGTCAGCTTTTTGGTACGAACATTTGAAAACATAGCGGACTATTTGTACATTCTTTTCTTCAAAAGCTCTCCGCCTTTTCACTATGATACATCCGCGGTTCCCAAAGCGCGTCAGCTGTGTCAACGTGACGTCAGCCGAGCCCAGCTCACGCATTGGACACGACAACTGCGTCACTTGGACGTTTGCGCTCGCCAACAATCAATCCGTCGACGAATATTTGGATTCGCGTTCGTGACCAATGAGTGCCTTGACGGAACCTATCGTCACTGGCGAATGACAAGTTCTATGGTGTGCATAAAAAGCACGGTGGAAGCTAGGAGTCATCACGCCGGTGCCGAAGAATGTCACGACGACGAGGAGGAGGAGGAGGATTTCCGTGAAGGAGTAGAGAGGACGGAGTTTGTCATGCGGGAAAAACGCCGACGATGTCCCGTCCGAAGAACAGAGGGAAACGTAAAGAAGAGCAGAGAAAGAAAATAGGAGATGGGGAAGGAGAAAGGAAGCAAAGAGAAGGAAAGCCGGCGGTCAGTGTTAATAATCATCACTTGTCGCTACACATCCACACCCACACACACACACACACGTGCTGTTCTGGAATCGGCTGCTTTTAAAATTGTGCTAAAAGTCCAGAGTCCTTTAAGAAACGCAAAAAAAGAACCTGCATATGTCTGCGACGGGCTCGAGAGCCCCGTGGGAAAATAATGTCATCAGTTTCCTCAAGTGGAGGACGAAGGTCCTGAAGCTGCTGGGAGAATCTCTGCCTTTGAACGTTGTATTTAGGACATTCCCAGAGCATGTGCTCGGCGTCTTCTGAGACCTTGCAAGCGTCACATGGAGGCGACTTCCTTCGGCCCCATCGATACAGTACTTTTCCGGTTTTCGCACTTCCAGTGCGGAGGCGAAGTAGAACTGTAGCTTCTGCTCGGCTGAGACCACCTAGGAGGCAAGGTTGGTGCCCTGATTCTGCCGCTGGACCCAGTCATGAAATATGCAGGCGAACTTGCTTTTGGAGCCAGCGGTCGTCTGTCGGACACTTGAGTGTCGGAGTGAAATCGTGGGCTCGAGAAGCGAGACGATCTGCTGTTTCATTTCCGCTTACTCCCACGTGGGAGGGCACCCATTGGAAATGAACGGTGAAACCAGCGTCTTCTAGTGCATAAAGAGCTGTTCTTGTTGTTTCCACGAGTTCCCCTATTTGGGTTTGCTTGCGTAGACAGAAAAGGGCTCCACGGGAGTCAGTTAGAATGACGGTGGGCTGAGGCGGATACGTCTGTAGAGCCTTTAAGGCCTCAAGTATGGCACAAAGTTCGGCTGTCGTAGTGGAGACCATTCTTTCTAGCCGTCCAGCCCACTCTATTCCAAGGCTTGGGATGCAGAAGGCAGAGGTGCTGCTTCTTTTGAAATGGTCAACCGATCCATCGGTATATACTCGAAGAAAATCTTTGAATTCGGTCGCAACGTGTTCATCTGTACAATATTTGAGATTCGGGGGATTTGAATTGTTTTTCTTCTTTACGCCTGGAACGTGCTCATGGGATAAGACCGTGCGAACAGCCCAAGGAGGTGTAGATTTTCTGGTGATGACTGGCGGTTTTGGTTTCCACCCGAGGTAACGCAGGGTGCGAAGAGAAATGCCAAATCGTGATAGGGGTCGTCGGGTGATTCTTCGGAGTAAAAAGAGGCCCGCAGTAGTTTCTTCAAGGCGGAGCATCTGTAGTAGGAGGTGCTGGGAAGCTATTAGAGGCAGTGGCAGTGTTCGGGCTTCTGCGTAAACTTTGAGGTTGCTGGTTCCTCTCGGAACGCCAAGGGCTGTGCGAAGTCCTTGTCGATGAATGCGTTCCAGTTTGAGAGCTGGCGTGGGGAGGATGTTCATATAAGGCAAGGCATATAAAAGGCGGCTCACTACTAATGCTGAGTGAAGCG